TTCTTGTCATTTCATGTTTCATGTTTAATCCTAATAAATCAAAGATAAAGTCAGCACCATGAATGAAAACTAACTTCACTAACAGCCCTTTTATATAGTCATTTGACAAATGGAAATACTGTGTTTCTACATAGGATAACAGGTTACAACCTTGTAACTTTGGCAACTGTTGGTGGGCCAAATCAAATGGCTTGGCGGGCCAAATTTGGCCCGCGGGCCCCACTTTGGGCTCCTCTGATGTAGAGTTTACAGAGTTGTTGTAGCCAATTTTGTGTTTACTAACATTGGTTGGCTGTGGCAGCCATCTTGAATCAGGTTGACTACAAAAATGCATCAGTTGTAGATGTGCAGCCAATGATTAGGTTGAGAATTTTAATAAAGTTTGTCTGATGGTTCCTGAGATGTTTTGTGAATATGCAAACATTTGATTTTTTATCCTTATTAAGACCACTTCCATTCATTTCTGTAACCTGACCCTAGCCTTTGCCCTAAACCTAACCATTAGCAGTACACCTAAACTAAATTTACATCTGAGCCCTAATACTAACCCATCCATCATCTATACCTGCTTCTTCCTTTCAGGGTCGCAGAGGTCACTGGTGCCCATATCCAGAAGTCAAGTGCGTAAGGAGCGGAGAACACCCTGAGTTAGTGCAACAAGTCTATCACAGCAGGGCCACACATAGAGACAAACAAACATTCACTCACACCTAGGAATTTGGAGTTATCAGTTAGTCCAACAGTCATGGTTTTGGTCAGAGGGAGGAAGCCGGAGTGCCTGGAGAGAACCCACGCACGCATGAAGAGAACATGCGAACTCTAACCAGAAAGGTCCCTGGGCCTGGATTTGATCCGGTGACCCTTCTTGCTCAGAGGCATTGGCTCTACCAACTGAGCCACCGTGCCGCCTAATACTAACTCCTGACCCAAAAATGACTTTCCATCATATTAGGACCAGACTTTCGTCAACAAAACGACTTGTTACTGACCATGTAGGCGTTTGTACTGGAAGATCCTAAAATGGTAACAAAAAGCAGATACACATAAACACATTACTATCCACCTTTTTGCTGATGGTGAGCACTAACTAAAAAAATGTTATTTATATGCATCATGGCGATTATTTCAAATTTGGTGACTACATTATCTTTAGAAATGTGTGTAAGTACCTGCACCTGCTCAGCAACTAAGATTATAATTCGTCCCCAAAAAGAAAAGGAGAACAGGCAGCTGGCCTCCTTCTGCCGACTCGAATCAGAGCTGCTGCATACAGAGAACTGGCTGTCCATCTTTGTATTACTTCATAAAAGACACAGCCTCTAGTTAATGTGGTGGTGAATTAAAACCTATAAAAGTTCCGATTTTTTTTTAGGAATGAAAAGACTATTGTAATAAAATGTCACCTTAAAGAACAAAAAAACAAACCACAACAAAAGAACAGGGTGTGCCTGCATCTCAGACAGCTGATTTCCATCAGTACACGGTACTGACCTCAGCCTTAAAGTGCACATTTATTTTAAAAAGGCCAACAGGAAGAGCAACTGTGYATCTGGAGGTTTTGCACGCTGCAGGCAGGCTGGTTAGCCATTTGTCTTTGTTTGCAAATGGACAGAGCAGCTGTCACCAAAGGTCAGCAAAATGTTGGCAGAACAAGGCCCTACAGAGGCTGGAGCCACGTGCCTGAGACAAGCTGCAAATACACCCACATGGAATTAAACACACTTGTTTATTTTCACTCACATACAGCACAAACTGTATTAATGGAGGAACTGCATCGACTTGGAGACATTTTCTAGTTTTTTTCTTGACTCTAAAACCCCTCCATGAGGAAAGATCATGTTTCACACTACCCTCCAGCCCTCTATGGGGGGAAGAGAGCTGTGTTTGAAGTATCTTCCACCTGTTTTTTACCTACCTATACCCCCCCATGGCTGTAACACAACCTGGGTAAACTCACACCGACCACCAATCGGCACCTCCAGCCTCGTCTTTTGAGCCTTTGTCAGRTGTACTCAGGGACGTAGGTGGATGGATGGATAGGAAAATACCAAAACACAAATCAAGAACAGCCTTTAAATCTATCTTCTTTTAGGCAGGTCTCTCTGGGTTATTTCTCAGGGGTAACAACTGTTCTTCTCATCTTATGAGGTGGAATGAAGCATTACGGTCACATTTATCTGCAGTCTTCTTTTAGCCAAACAGAACAGCACCGGTGAATGAGAAAACCAGGCTTCAGGTTGGGTTTTTTTTTTTACAATGCATCTCCAAATACATCCCCCCTGGGTTTGTTCTTCAACAGCCTTCAAGAAAAATAACAGAACAAATCCAAGAAAAAAAAAACCGACCGCCTAACGTGTTTCACCTCCATGACTGGAAATTTAACCCGTGACTGAAGCTTCTGAAACATTGGCTTGCATGCTTTTCTCAAACAGTAATAATCTTGTCAGGATGGAGCCATTGGGYTAAATTAGATAAGATAAAAGCAGTTCCAACAACCAAAAAACAAAAAAGAAGGACCAGACATGTTTCAGATCTTCCATGTGACATAACCAGCCATAATTAAAGTCTTCAGAAACACTTTCTGTAACAGAACGGAGCGCAGGAAACAGAACCACMACTAACAGCGCCCAAAGGAGTTCAGCTCGCGTTTTTCCAGATGTGTTGTGGGGGCATCTTTTACGTCATCCTTCTTTCCGTGTCTCTGACATGACAAAGAGGGAAATTAGCCTCCAAAATGCTGCCATTTTCCTCTCCAAAAGAAATATAACATGCAGTCATWTGCCTGAGGGGCGAGCAAGAAGGCCAGCGGTTATTTTCAACCCATTAAGTGCGCTGTAAACAGATGAGCTGCATTGTTGCAGCGCTGTCTCCATGCCCAGATTAACGTGCTTATAGTCTAGTGCTTTGTAGATGCAAATCAAGCATGCCTTAAGGACACAGACGGTCTATTATAATGTCACTGCAGGGAATAAAGGCTGGACCAAGTGGCTGTTTGGCTGCCTTTTTTCAGGAGGAAAATGCTGTTTGTTTTATTGACCTATAAATTAAAAAACACAGATTACTGAAACAAATCCAAAAGCATTTTGGAAGCCACTAAGACCAGACATATATTTTATATGTATAGTAAACCCAATGAGATGCAAATGAAGACACTTCAAATAAGCACAACAAACATTGGATGTGACAAAACTTTTAGAAGARACAAAGGAACCAAAACAGGATGCAAAATGAAATGCAGGTGACAAGAAATAGATGAACAGAAAGTCATGCAAATAACATCAGTGTGCGACATTAAAAAGACAACCCAAACTCAAATACAGACTCTGCACAGAGATTTAAAATGACCAATGAGTTGTGAAACCACAAGAAAAGACCACAAAGTGATATGAAATACTGCGTACCCACGAACACTGAATACAAATGCATGGTTTGTGGTCAATTTGAGCTTTAAACACTGTAAACTACACTGCCTTTTGTTTAATTAACCTCCATAAATTAGAACGAAAGTTAGTGAACTGGTTGAAAATGTGGACCAATATGGTAGCCATCCAAAAAGAGGACATAAAGACCTTCTTTGTTAGGAATTAAAGGACCCTTTTTTGCTAGTTTGGTCACTTAACTCACTGTGTTAAAGGCCTTTGGGAAGACGAGTTCAAGGACTGGAAGCAAATATAGGAAAAACAATATGTTATGAAAGCCTCACTGAAGAACTAGCAGAAGTGCGTGATCACAACATGTGTTAGCAGTTGTAAACTTTTGCACTGGTCTTGGGAGGCGACAAAACCCGGGTAGTTAGTGAGACAATATTAAACTGCAGATAACTGGTCAAGCAGGCTACATGTCCAATCTGCTACCGCCGGCTAAAGCCAACAAAAGGGAATTAAACAGAGCTGCTTCACCACCAGCTAGACTGAACCACTCCAACACACACGAACCTTTCCTGTTATATACCGCTGTAAGCTTTTTACGATATATTGTACAATTTTAGCAGCTTAAAAACACAAACATTAGCACGGCCGCGTCATCGGCCATTACCAGTAGCGGTTAGCCTGCCCTCCTCCTCCTCCTCCGCCAGCTGACTGACAGGGTGGAGACGATCTCTCTCCGTTTCAGCTGGATGCAGACGAAGAAAAAATAAAATACCCTGGAAATACTTTCAAACGGTATACAAGGAGCAAGGCGTCGGTGTTAAATTGCATTAAAATGCACCTTTAAAATGGGACAATCTCATGAGAGCTGAGGGTCTTTTTTTCCCCAGTGTCACCAAACGCAGCACAGTCCTTCTCCCTGAAGAAAGGGATCGTTCAATGGCCGCATAGGAGGCACCCCTTCATTCAAACATCCTCCAACACAAACTCGTATTTTTACAACTATTTTTTTTACATTTTATAAAAGTCGGAGAGCTGCTTCTTTATTTCTTATCTCGAGGTCACGGTCTGGGATGGGCTGACAATATGTGGCAAAGCGGGGAAAAAATAAAAAAACGTCATTCATGTAATTACATACTAAAAATTTACTTTATGTAAGAAAAATCATCAAACGTAAAGGAAAATTAAAACGTACCAATGCGAACTGAACGATGAAAATCACTTACAACGGAATGGGATTCACAAAGAGGGTCCCCTCTCTCTTCCAGTAGGAGTGATTATCCCCCTTCTCAGCCGAACACAAATATAAAAAAATTTAAAATAAAACAAACTCCTATTACAGTGTGAGTTAGTAGCTATCATACAGTAAAATCTGGTTTAAAGTAGCCGCTGTCCCGATGTTTTCACGCGCCGCTTCGCCTGCAACCCACAAAATGTGCTCCTGGTCCCATTCTTGTCTCCCGCAGCTGCTGAGGAGACACGCACGCTGCGCGTCTCCATTTCCTGTCCAGCCCAGGACGGTGCGTTCAGGGGCTGTGGGAAATATCTTTCCAAGCTGATGAGGAGTGAAACAGGTGTAGCGCTAAAATAATTATCCCAGAAAGAATTTGTGGCCCCTCGCGTGTCTCGGGAATGCGCACAAAGCGTGAAAGGCTGACCGCAAAAACGAACAGAGATTACATTGTGGTGTTTCCGGTTAAAACAAAAATAGACTCCTCATCGTGGCTGATGATTCCAGTGATTTTTTAACGATATTTGCTCTTTTTATTGTAAAGTTAAAGAGGAACACACATTCAAGTAGAGCAGGTAACTCCTGACATTGCTTGTACATGACCTGTTCTCCCTTCTTACTTGCTTTGGTTCTGTTTTGTCCTTTTACTAGTTCTGCTTGTGCAACATGGCCTTGCGTCTTACGCACCGAGGTCTTGCTTGGCCACACTTTTGCGCGCACCAAGGTCTCACTTCATATTCACCGTGTCCATAATTCATACAACATGGTCTTGCTTTGTGCACACCATGGCCACACTTCATACATWCCAAGGTACTGTCTGCTTCATATGCACAATGGTCYCATTTCATACACAGATCATGCTAACCATATACACCATGGCCATGCTTCGTACAAACCATTGTCTTGCTTTGTACACACCATGGCCACACTTCATACATACCAAGGTACTGTTTGCTTCATATGCACAATGGTCTCATTTCATACACAGATCATGCTAACCATATACACCATGGCCATGCTTCGTACAAACCATGGTCTTGTTTTATAGGCATCATGGCCATACCTCATGGTCTCCCTTCATATGCACCATGGTCCTTCTTTGACAGGTATTAATCAGGTATATTCTTTTGAAACCATATTGTTTTGTTAGAATGTTGTGAAGTTTATCATGACCCCTGCACGCGAAGCTTAAGCGAGAGTCGTATTGTTTTCGTACGGTTTATTTATTTTTTTTCCAGTGATTTTTGGTCGACTGTAGCACAAAAACAGCTGCACCGATCAACACGAAATTTTGGCAGGACTGTAGGTGAGTCTGACCTACACTGCGCCAGCCAACGGTTTTATGATAGACCCCATATTTGAGGAGGGGGCTCCTTTCAAAGTGGAGGTGTCAGGACATGCAAAATCGCTTATAACTCAGAAACTGTTCAACAGCTTCAGATTTCTTTTGTTSTTTAGCTCTGATGAAGCTCTATCATCAGGCCCACCAATCAGTGCCCCCCGCACCCCCAATTTATCTGAAAAAGGGGTATCTGGACATACAAAAATGGTTATAGCTAAAAAAAACTATTAAACATAGGAGCTTCAGATTTCTTTTGTTGTTCAGCTCTGAACAAGGGCTATCCTTCAGGGCCAAGACCCCCACCCAAAAATAAAAGACCCCCCACCCAAACCACTACAATTTTGGGATGCACCTAGTGGCATGACATTTATTAGGAATAAAGACTTCTGAGTTCTGGTGCATTTGTGCGTGCGGGGGTCATTATGTTACCGCTATGCTGTATCTAGTTTTTTTTTAAATTAATTTGTCAAATGGATTTTTCTGTCAGTACTTTTGAGTTTTTAATTTTTAATCGCACCACCTCTGAAAAAAAAAATTACAAGCGCAACAATTTCAAACAATTCTAAACATTTTTTCTAACTAAAAGCGAACCACTAAWCCTACCATCAACATTCAACTTCCTTTTCAATTTAATTAAAAATACAAACGTTTTGCTCATTAATCAAAATAGACATTCCGAAAGAGCTGATTAAATCTGGCATCATCACAAGATAGAGCGCTTATTACAGATTATCCTTATAAACACATGGCAACTCATAATTCCTATCTTTATTTTCTTACTTAACAACAAAGCCTTTTAAAATGCTTCACATTCTAGTCCCATAAAATCTATTACAGCGTGTTGCAACACAAAATTAATATTTACTGCCTTGTTATTGTCTCTAAAACCTGCCCTATGTTAATAAAACAGAAATAAAACACTGTTTACATATAAGCTGAGCAGAGTAAATAACTTGTATATGGTTTGCATTAAGAGCTTTATTATCATCATTTAGATGGGGAAAAAAGAGCTTTGTTGCCATCTAGTGGACCTGAATGTATCACTTTTATTTTATTTATTTATTTATTTTTTTACAAACACATTAAATTACTCTTTACTGATGAGTCATCATCACACACCTGGGCTGATCTGTTTGCACTTGTTTTACACAATGATTCACGTTACTTTCACACTGTTTTATTCATTTCTCATAAATGTGTTTTTCTTTCTGTGTCAGCATTTTCCAGCAATGACACTTTGGCAGTTGTGTCTGTTTTCTGCTGAACGGCGTGTTCAGTCAACACTTGGCGTGGTTCAAGGCCAGGGTCATTGTACTTTTGCTGTGTAAACGACATAAAGCTGCATGACCAACAAACATCTGGAACATTGTATTTGCAGCAGATGAGTTCAAGACACTGAATCACAAGCACACAATGGTGAAGAGGAAACAACCAGTCAACAATTAAGCCCTTTGTTTTCTCAAGTATGTTAGAAGCAAATGTGAGGCTGCCTGTTTAAAACTGGGCAAAGCTGTGTTGGAAGCAGAATAATGATCCTGTCTACAAAAAAAAAAAAAGTCTAAAAAAGTCTAAAAAAAAAAAGTGTAAATTGTAGTTCCAGCACTGGCATCAGATGTCAGCCATGAGTCAAAAATGGAGATACAAATAACATTAATTTAGAATTTTCTGACTTACTGTTACTATATAATAAAAGAAAAAAACTTTCAACGGTAAATAGAAACATGAGTGAAACATAAATTTTTCAAGAGCAAATAATAATAGAAATAATTTACTCTACAAGAAAAAAATGATCAAAGCAGCTGCACTGAATTTAAAAGTATTTTCTACAAACAGAAGCAACGTTTTGGCATTCATAAATGGATCGCTGTACTGTTCTAATCTGTTCACATGAATGGTGTGAATGTGTTTATGACTTTTAAATATATATTTTCYAAATTTTGCCATATTTGTGGGCAGCTGTTCAGATTGGTTAGGGGAGTTGTCCTCTAACTGATAAGTTGCTGGTTCAAACCCCCCGTTCCAGCTGTCTCAGTTGTTGTTATCTTGGGCAAGACACTTCACCAGGCTTGCCCACTGATGGTGGTCAGAGGGGTCGGTGGCACAGTATGGCAGCYYCGCCTCTGTCTGCCCCAGRGCAGCTGTGGCTACACTGTAGCTTACCATCATCGGTGAGTGAATGAATGATGCATGAAAGTGTMAAGCATCTTTGAGGGTAACAGAAAGCACTATGTAAGACTAATGTGTTATTAGTATTAAACAAAGGTCTATAAAGTGCTTGGGGGAAAAAATAACCAAGTAAAAGTAGAATTACATGAACAGAAAAGGACTTTGGTAAAAAATAAATTTCACTGATGAGAAAACTACTCAAGTAAAAGTCATAAAACTTCACAAAAACTGGGAAAGTAAAAGTACTTTTACACACTCAAGAAATAAACTGCTGAGTTTACTGAACCAAATTGGTTCCACTGTTGAGTAAATTGAGCAATACGTATGTGTATATGCTTAACTCA